CCCCCACAGTCACATCAGTCTCTGTACAGAGGAGCTTACACTCTAATGTCCCCTCCCCCCCACAGTCACATCAGTCTCTGTACAGAGGAGCTTACACTCTAATGTCCCCTCCCCCCCACAGTCACATCAGTCTCTGTACAGAGGAGCTTACACTCTAATGCTCCCTGTATTCTGTATTGGGTGGGCGGGTCTCACCTCTTTCCTCATGGTGGGCGGGCAGTTGGGCGTGGCTCTGGACAGGAAGGAGGGGAAGTAGGTGTGGAGGGTGTTCTCCGGTGTTGCTCCGAATGCCAGAACCTTCAGCCGGGGGTAGAGGTCTCTCAGCTGCTCCTGCTGGCTATAACCACACCGGATTCATTTCATATTAAATGATAAACGCACAATGCGCAACGCGCAACGCAGGTGTACGACCGGCCGAACGCGGCCGCAGCCTGAGCCGAGACGTCTGTCCTTTGTGGTGTGGAAGCAGTGGTCTCTCTGCAGAGGTCCAGCGCACCCGCCGACAGCTTTGTAATCACCGCAGCCCACGCTTCCTGCCAATGTTATACTTCTGATGTAGCGAGGGGTGGGACTCCTGCAGAGAGACCACTGCTTCCCAGTCCAGCACCCTCATTATACATGCACCGGGGGGGGGATCTAAGGCAGTTCTGCCCGTGCACCAAACGCGTGCGCCGTCGCTATACACATGGGGGGAGGGGCATTGCAGCGGCAAGGAAGTACGCTACACTAGGTGATGATGTCACTGCGTCCAAGATGCATGGTCACATGATGGGGCGGAGTCACAAACAATAGGGCTTCATGCAGGTATAAAGAAGTGATTGGCAGCAGTGGTTGAGATTTCATTGATCATGTGACACGTCTGCATGATCCCGCCCTCTAGCAGAGGTCAGTCAGCGGGGTGACAGCGTGTACACACGTCTGCATGGTCACGCCCTCTGAGGTCAGCGGGGTGACAACGTGGGAATGTGAGCTCCGTACCTGGCAGTCAGCGAGTTATTTGGCATGAAGGCAAAGTCCAGGAGGGGGAAGAAGTCCTTCGGACCGATCAACCCGAAACCCTTAGTCAGGTTGGAGTGCATCCTGCAAGACAAAACCAGAGCACATGAGGGGTCTGAGCACACGAGGGGGTCCCAGCACACGAGGGGGTCCCAGCACACGAGGGGGTCCCAGCACACGAGGGGGTCCCAGCACACGAGGGGTCCGAGTGTTGTGGACATGTTACTAGGATGTGTTTTTAGTGTAATATTGTCATCATGTCTCTGTGTCTGAAGGTGGACAAAGGGGAGGCCTAGACGTACCCGCCATAGAGGTGGACAAAGGGGAGGCCTAGACGTACCCGCCATAGAGGTGGACAAAGGGGAGGCCTAGACGTACCCGCCATAGAGGTGGACAAAGGGGAGGCCTAGACGTACCCGCCATAGAGGTGGACAAAGGGGAGGCCTAGACGTACCCGCCATAGAGGTGGACAAAGGGGAGGCCTAGACGTACCCGCCATAGAGGTGGACAAAGGGGAGGCCTAGACGTACCCGCCATAGAGGTGGACAAAGGGGAGGCCTAGACGTACCCGCCATAGAGGTGGACAAAGGGGAGGCCTAGACGTACCCGCCATAGAGGTGGACAAAGGGGAGGCCTAGACGTACCCGCCATAGAGGTGGACAAAGGGGAGGCCTAGACGTACCCGCCATAGAGGTGGACAAAGGGGAGGCCTAGACGTACCCGCCATAGAGGTGGACAAAGGGGAGGCCTAGACGTACCCGCCATAGAGGTGGACAAAGGTGAGGCCTAGACGTACCCGCCATAGAGGTGGACAAAGGGGAGGACTAGACAACCTCTCCTGCGTCAACAGAGGAGCATGCTCTCACTTCCCATGTATCAGTGTGTTCAGTGCAGAGAGGACAGATCACACCCCGTACACCGGATCCAATCGGGGGGGGCGGGGGTTAGGGTTAG